CCTGCTGCTGGGTCACCCTTAGTCACTCACCGCCCTTCCAGGCCCACTTCCTGATAAGCCCAGCACCTCCACTCTCTACCCCAGCCCCAATCCTGGGGGGCCAGGCCCACCTACTGGTTCCCTCCATCACACACACACACACACACACACACACACACTCACACACGCACGCACACACTGAGGAGAGGCTGTCTCTACCCACTTCCCCACAATCTAGGCCAAAACTGGGGGTTGGCCAGCCCTCCTGCCAAGCAGGGTGAGAGGTGGCACCTCTCCCAGAGCCTGGGGACCTCATCTGGGGCCTCTCCCCAGGTCTTCCGCGACAAGTTTCCCAGACTTTTGGACCAAAGAGAAGTGGCTTGGGAGGGACATGGGACGAGCAGCTCTTCCCAGGAACCCCCTCCCCCAGCCCAGGAAGGTGAAACAAGAAGTGGTACATAGCCTCCAAGACGTCAGGGCTGGGAAGGCTGGCGCCACCCCCTTGCTCTGTACAGAGGTGAGAAAGGAGGCCCGGAGAGGGAAAGGAACTGGCCCTAGGTCACACAGCGAGAGCCCAGGACCTCTGATGCCTGGCCCAGGATTTTTCCCTGATAGAGCCTGAGAAAATGATTCCAAAAAGGGAGACGGGGTTATTAACATTGACTCCCTTGAAGTAGGGCCTGCACCTAGAGGGCTCTCGGAGAGCTGAAAGACGAAGTGGGGAGCTGGTCTGGTGGCCCGGGCACCCAGAGAGAAGTGAAAGGCTGGAGGGGATAATCGGAAAGGCAGCAGAGCAGCTCGTGAGGGAGAATGAAGGGCCAGGTCTAGGCGCTGGGAAGCAGGGCAAAGAGGTGTGGATAAGAGCCCGGCTTGTGACCTTGGCTAAGTCGCGTCCTTCTCCTGGCCCAGTCTTGCGTCTGTCTACTGGCCTCGGTGCGACTGGGACCCCAGAGCGCTCAGGCACGCAGGTTCCCCCGGGGCGAGCGAGGGTGCCTCACCTTCTTGAAGTCGGCGGTGAAGGAGATAAGGGTGCCGTCGGGCTTGCGCAGCTCCAGGCTGATGCTGTCGGCGTCGCTGTCCGCCTGCAGGCTCTCCTCGGTCACCTGGCCGTCGGGCAGCCGCACGCGGACCCGCAGCTCAGACGGCGCGCCAGCCCCGGTCCCCGCGACCACGCCGCGCGGCCCCCCCAGCAGCTGCATAAGCGCCGGCAGCAGCAGGAGCAGCAGCGCAGGGGACGCCGGGGGGACCCCGCCGCGGCCGGGTGGGCGCATCCCCGGGGACCGCCGCCGCCGCCGCCCTCGCGGTCCCGGCGCGCCGCGGGCGGGCGGGGAGCGGCTCGACCAAACTTCGCCCTAACTTGGAAGCTAGTTCGCGGCGCCGGGGCGCGGCTCCCCGAGGGGCTCAGCCTCGGGGCGCCCGCGACGCGGCGCCGACGCACGTGGGCTGCGCTCCGTCGCGCGTCCCCCGGCGGCTCCGAGGCGGACAGCACGCTCCCAGGGCCCGTCTGCGCCCCCGGCCCAGTGCCTTAGCTCCCACGGCCCCCGACTCCGGCGCTCCGAGACTCTGTTTTGCACTTTTCATTCAATCCCACCCCCCGTCACTTCCTTCAGAAAACAGAAACCACCAGGACCTGCCTTAAAGAGACCGCGCACCTCTCGGCCCTTAAAGGGCCCGCGGAGGCTCGCCGCGCTCGGCGGCGGCCGCGGACGGGGGCGGCGCGGGCCGAGGGGACCGGTCCAGGGCGGCCTTGTGGGAACAGGGCTTTCTCAATCGCCCTCCCTCCCCGCCGCGCCCGGCAGCGACCGGGCTGGCCCAGAAGTTGACTCTCCCAGCAAGGGCGGGACGGGTGACTCTTCCCCCGCCTCCCTTTTTTTTGGCTTGTTCTCGTGCCACGTGGATGAAAGAATCGGGCTTGGTGTTTTAGGGGTTTTGTTTGGTCTTTTAGTTGCTCTGACGCAGCGAATTTCTACAAAGCTTCTGCAAAATCAGACCTCGCCTCGCATTCAGCCTTTTGACTGCCCTGGGTCGGGAGAGAGGGGCTGGGGTTCTGCTGGCGTTGACATCCTTCAGGTGTGAAATCTTGATCAGTCAGGGCACCTCTCTGACGTGGTGGCCCTCAAAGCGCCCTCATTCTGTGAGCCCCTGTGCAGTTCCTTTTCTGTCTTGTTGCCCTCACTTCCCCCATTCACGACCTTTCCCCAGTCCTGCCCACCTCCCCAGAGCCCCGTTCTGTCTCCCAGTAATAGGCCAAGCAGATTCAGGGAAATGTTACATTCCAGGCCATTCTGGAGAATGTCTGGGGATTCAGGATGCTCTTGACCATCAGAGGCTCTCCCACAAGCCCCAAGAAAGTATGACTGCCCTGCCATGCACCCCAACAATGAACTGGGCGAAGGCAGGAGGGATCTGGATTCCTGCTTTCTCTGATTAACTGTGTGCTTTAGACACATTTAAAAAATTCTTCGGGCCTAGGTGTCCCCCTGGGTATAGTGGGAGTTGCTGAGACATACAAAGTCCTGCCAATCCCGGAAGAGACAACCCCAGGGGGATGCTCTGAACCTGTTGTTCCTTGATGTCCATTTCACTTCTGTTTATTCTAGGTTCCCCTATTCTTTCCAAGATCTTGATCACAGATGGTGAATACCCTCCTCTGCTCTGCAGCCTCCTTCCCTTCTAGGTTTTCCCCAGCACAGGGTTCTTATTAGTACCAAAGATGACAACAGGTACTCCAGCACCCAGGGACCTTGAAGACACCAGCAGACCAGATGCCCTTGAACTGCAGGGTGGGGCCCAGAACCCACCTCCTTACTGCTAACCCAGGGCTCTTCTTACTACACTTTGCTGCCTAAATTTAAGACTGAAAGTGATTCAAGAGATTATCTAACTTGATGTTTTTCAAATTTGCCTTATCAAAAGAATCACCTAGGTGCTTGTTAAAAACACAGATACCTGGATTCCTAAATCTAGTCAATCAGACTCCTTAGGAAAAAGAACTGAAAATTTGCATTTTTAACAAACGCCCAGTGATGCTTGATATCAGGGATGGATAGCTGGTACTTGACAGAGGGTTAAGCTTAGAGGATCTAAAACAAAAAGCATCTCTCCTGGGGAAACATCCTGGTCCCAAAGGACTTTATCTCTCCATTATGGAGATAAGGCAGGCAGTCAGAGAACAGTGGATTAGCATAAGGACTGCTCCCCTAGGGCTTCCCACTCTGAGCTGGCAGGGCTGGAGAGGTGCCCAGGGTCTCAAAACTGGTCTCCTGCCTGACAGGACACTCATCCCAATCCAGCCTTAGAGATAGGTCTTCTCACGTGAGTCATTAGGGCCTCACCCACATTTCCTAACTTCCTCTGTTTCAGATCCTGTCCCCCATCCATCATCAGCTCTGCCCCCAGCCATATTCCTAGGCCCCTTCCTCTTCGCCCCAATGAGATCCCAGAAGAAGTAAACAAAGAAGCCCTGTGTTTGGTTTCTTTTCTAGGTGTAGGCTGTCTTTGTCTCTTCAAATTCTGGGTTTGGAAACAAGGGTAGAACACCTCATCTCTTCCTACCACCTCTTTCCCGTAATCAACGTCCTTGTTGAGTTCAACCACAGATCAAACTAGATTTTTCTTTTAGGATAGAGAATTTGTAGTCTCACTCCACTATGTAAGCCCTCCCTCTGTTCCTCTCCTTCCTTTTGATTTTGCCTGACCAACTCTTCAAGATCCAGGACAAAACTTGAGTTTCCCAGGAAGACTTTCTCGGCTACTGACCTACAGCTCTGCACTATTCTCTCCCGGCTCTGAACTCCAACAACAACAATTATTATAGCAGCTACCATTCACTGTGTTCTTATTATGTCCACGTTCTGTGGCAAGCACTTTACATGTATCATCTTATTTAACTTTTGTTTCAACCCTCCAAAATATGTTCTATTCTTAGCCGCCTTTTACTGACTAGGAAACCGAGGCTTCCAGAGGTTAAGTGGCATGCCCAAGGTCACACAAGTAGGGGAGCCAGCAGGGATTCAAACACGAGGCCGCCTGACCACAAACCCCTTGCTTTTAACCAAAATAGCATCTGCCTGCCTGTGGCCCTTGCTTTCTTCCACCCCATTCGGACATGCATCCTGTGCTATCTTCTTCTGTAATCTAATGGTTCCAAGTGTGGCAATCTTGTACGCCAGTGAGGCTGTCAGTTCAAACAGGACAGCTCCATGCTGGGAACAGAGACTGCTTCCCTTAAACCAGCCAGGCATAGAAGCATCTATTCATCTTACACGTAAAGGCCCTCAGAGGAAGAGCTCTAACAAGGCCAATTACTCTGACTGCAACCAAACAGCCCTCATTGTCAGAACATTCTTAATGTCTAATCGCAAGCCCTCTGCCACACCGTAAACCAATTTCCTTCCTTTCTGACCCCTAGTCCTAGGAAAGCAGTTGTGAGTTGTGGTTCAAAGCAAGGGCATCAGCATCTCAATCCTGAGGCTTGGCCCCTCAGGAGCTATGTGATTCAGGGAGCCTGTTTCTTCATCTGGAAAATGGGTGCATAAATGCTTACCTCACTGGGTTGTTTTGAAAATTAAATAAAACATTATGTACAAAACACTTCACGTGTTTGGCATATAGTAGAGGCCCAAGAAATGGTGGCTATTATTATTTTAAACTGTTTACTCACTCCTCTTATATCAACTATTAAGTCCCTGTTTGACCTACACAGGGTCCCCCCTCCCCGGCCCACACTCCACGCACACGCACAACTCCTTCCGGAACACTTTTTTCTATTTATTCTCTTTAGGTCTTCCAGTTTATGCTACCGAGACCACTGAAACTGGGAAGTGGGCAGCAACACCTGGGCAAGCACCTCCCCTTTGCTTTCCGATCTTAGGGTGCCTCAATTTGGCAGGAAGAGAAATGCCATGCCATCTCCCAATCCCTGTCCAAGAAAACAGGTGCTGACGGAGCCCTGCAGAAGGCTGAAAGGGAAACTGAACCAGTGACCTCTATCTGGAGATGGGGAGAATGTGATAGGGAGCTTGACTTTGCAACAGTGGTAGGATTTTTCTTTTAATTTCTTTCTGTGGCTGGCATTTGGGTTGAGTTACGGTACAGTTGCTCGGTGCTGGGCACTTGCCGATGGGACTGGCCATTCGTGCTTTGAGTCTGAGAGGGACCTGGGGATGGGGTGAGGTGCTCGCCTCTACTTCTCAAGGCCACTGCAAAGCTCCAGTCACTGCTCTGCCCAAGCAGAAGTGCAAATTAGTTTTACAGCATCACACAGCTACTTGGTTACATAAATCCAAGGGCGTGGTGGGAAAGTGAACTGGAGAGGCAGCGGCCAGGATAGAGAGTGGGAAGGGCAGAGGGGCCAGGACTGCTGGGTGAGCAGCCATTCTCCCCAGGCAGAAAATCGCACTGAGGGGAAGTTTAGATGAAGTTGGGCTGTGCCAGTGACCTTTAGGAAGGAAAAGGAAGCCTGAATGATCGGAACTGCCAGGGAAGGTACATCTCAGCTCATCGATTCTAGACCAGGGACACTTGAAGTTCTCAAACGTAAGCATCTTCTTCTCTATGCTAGTTCCTTCCGGGGGCCTTTCTTACTCTCCTACCTGGATACTCATCCATCCATCCATCCACCCATCGCTCCATCCATCCATCCATCCAGCCAGTCAGCCAGTCAGTCATCTAGTCACATACTCTGCTAGACGCTGTGGTCACGGCAGTGGAACAAAGCAGATGCAGCATTTCCTTATCCTGAGGTGGAACCTACAGCTGCAAGGCAACTAGACATTAAAAAAAGAAGTGCAGGAACAAATATTTAAATTATAATTGTAACTGGAACTGTGGAGAACTAGAGGAGACTCTAGCTTAGACCCACAATGCCTAGGTTGACTTAAAAGATGAATCAGGATTGATACGCAAAGATGATACTCCAGGCACAGGGAATGGCTTAGGTACGGGCCTGAGCCTGGCGGGCTTCCCAGAAACTTCACCAAGTGCCTGAGGTGAGATGAGGGTAGGAGAGCCGCTGGGAATAATGCGGGGCCTTGCAGGCAACGTTAGGATGTGAGTATCATTCAGTTTTGTTTCCCTAAGAACAGGGGGGCAGTCACTGAAAGGTATTATATAAGGGAGTGACATGAGCAGACTTGTATTTTGAAAAGGTCACTGTGGAAGTGGATTGCAGCAGTCCAGAGGAGAGGTCATGGTGGCTTGGACCCTGGTGGCGGCAGCAGGTGAGAGAGGTGTTGGACTTCAGCTGCATTTTGGAACTAGAATTTGGAAA